CCAGGAGCCCCTAGTATAGCGTCCTTTGCTCCTAGTAGCGATGCCAGCACATCATTGCTTGCCTCTGTAAGAGCGTATTTCAGCATTAGCTTGCAGTGGCCACCGCGCAGCCTCTAACACCTTTTGCACTTTCACAGCACCGCCTGTTATCATCATCATCGGAATACCTTCTAACTTCCCTCCCAGCACTTTAAGCTTGCCACCATGCAACTTGAAGCACATGTCAGCACCTCAACCCCTGTCATTCATTCAGAGTATCCTACAAGAGTGCCACACCCGAGTGTCCTATCCTCCTCACATTTCTTGCTGTATGCATAAAGCACGAGCTCCATTTTTCTGGGGTGCCAGTGCCTTGCATTTGGGGTTGTGGCTTCTATTAAGTTTGTTTGATCCTGCGCAGGGTGCGCCAAAACCAGCCAGCACCTATCCTGAAATCTGACCTGGCTACTCAAAAGACAAAATAATAGTAAACTATACTCTTCGACCTTTGTTGAGTCGAAGTCTTCTGAAGGCCGGCCATACCAGCCAGTTGAGGCTTTGTGAAGGTCAAATGTACGCAATGCATGTGAATGCAGGTATTTAAAACTATATTCGGCTGCCATGTGCCTCACTTCAGGATTTCAACTCATGCGCTTTGAGTCTATTGATGTGGAGGAAGTCTCATCTTGAATTCATAGTAAACTAGTAGCGCACTCGTCCCTGGACCAAAATGCACCCAAAACACAGCTCAACACAGTACTGAACACAGTATATAGTAAGAGAGGAGACGTTGAAGGAAAAATAGGTCAGGGATGTAACGGATGTAATATGTCGTACCCCGTCCCAAGCAATATGACAAAAAGCCACTGCATGTACAATCCTCAAACAATGTTGGTGTTTGGGGGATGGGTACTGTTAGCCATACATTTGGCAGCGTTGCCATATTCGGCCTATTCCAGGATGACTTCCCAAATGATCTAACTGCCAGCATCGTGCCCTTCAAAAGACCTCAATGGTCCCAAGCAACAAGCAACCCAACTCAGCCATAGCATCCATAGCCTCGTGAGGTCTCCAATGCCTTCAAAAGATTGATCACATCCGGCAACAAAGTGCTCGTGGTGGTCGTTGTCCGTCGTCCATACCTCCGATCTTGCCGACGGTGTTGTCGACCTGGATTTCAGGCATGCGACATCCGCTCTGGTCATTAAAGAATCTTAGCTCCAGCAAGCGAATGGACACTTACTATGGCACTATGGCACTGTACGCGACTGGATGCAGGCACAAGCCGTATCACCTCTACTTTCTGAGGTGCTACTTCCACCCATTCCCTCATGCAACAGCGTCTGTGGCTCAGGGTGTTGCATGGAAAGCAAAGCCACGGAGCGCACAAAGAAGAAACAGGAACACGCGGAAGATTGTCGAGTAGAAAATAAGCACATGAATTATCAAAACACATCTGTTATACATCTGTTCTGAATAAAGGGCACAATGGAAAACAAATAAAACAACCATCGCGCTTGGAATCGAGGATTTCCCCCGAAAACGACGACCACTTCGCGGACTCCAGGAAACCACTCAGGTGATGTCCAAGCAACGATGGCGTCGATGCAACCGATCGTACTGTCGCGAGTACGGGTCATCCACCAGCCTTTGGGCATGAATCTGCACCAAACCTTTCGCGTCACTCTCTGAGAGGTTGCAAAGAGATCCACAGCAGGCTGGCACGATCAGCGCAAGAATAAATCGCGCCACAAATGGCATTCAAAGGAATCACCTTGAATCACAACGATATGAACATTGGTAAGTGCTGAGAGCCCCAAATAGCTGCAAATTGCTCTCTGTAGTCACACACATGTGCCAGTCTTGGGGCACAAAACTCAGTCATTTTAAAGATTCTCCCAATCTAAGGAAGACCAACGCCACTACCAACGGCATCTTTGATCCTTGGCAGTCTTGAAGAACACTTCCAAAACCGTGGCCCTTTCTCCGGTCCCCTCAACACGAAGGAGTGATGGCGAGTGATCGTATCATCATTGGTATTCATTAAAATGTAGACTATTGGGGCGGGGTGAGAAACTTGAGTTGGCAAAGTTACCGTATAGGCCCCCCCGATGCCAATGAGATTGAACCAAATTGATCCAAATTGGAAATCGTCAGAACCAAGTACCTGCACCACTTCGCCGCTAAAGCTCACTCCTGCTGGAGCCAAGCATGAAAAGCAGCAGCGTTGAGGTCATGCGGACCTCCGGGCTGCATTCCAAATCTTCTTTGCTTGTTCATTGCCTGTTAATTGAGTATATCTTCGCATCTAGGTCCTAGTTGGAGGCCATCGCTAGGTTGGAGGTCATTGCTTCTAGGTACGTGTGCAACATCTCAAGCTTAGACATGCCGCCCAGTCACGCAGGCACCGTGTCAACCGCCCTCTGTGGCGATGCCAGCCGTGGCCTCCAACCTACTAGTGGAGTGGTCGCAAAACACCCCAACACAACCTCAACCTAATAGCGATGACATCCAACCTACTAGCGATGGCCTCCATCCTCCTAGTGATGGCCGC